ATGTGTTACTCCTCTATGCTTTTTTTTTTTTTTTTACTGCCACTATCTGGAGAGCAGAAAAATAATAAGCACTTGCTGATAACAATTCATAGTTCTATCACATCTCAGGAAGAAATGAAACTATGAGTAAGAATTGAAACTAAGAAGAAAAAAAATCAAAGTGATTCAATCTGGGGAAAAATACTGAACAAAGTCTAAACTCTAAAAATTCTAAGTTATCAAAAACACAGCCAAAAACCACTTCCGAAAAGCCCTAGAAATCAACCTTTTAACCTGTTTTTGAAAAATCATAGGACATTTCATCACTCCGGAAATCTCAGTACCAATGGTTCTTTCTTGATTTTGTTTGTTGTTAACTGATATGGTAACTGCTGAAAACCAAAATGTTCCATATAAATGTGTTATACTAATCTTAATAAGTACAAACAGAATTTTATTTTTTGTTTTGTAAAGTCAATCAAACTTACATGATCATAGGTCAAACAAAAATAGATTTTGCTGAATTGTGTTTTGTTGTTTTTTTAGGAAAAGCCCAGCTAATGCTTCTTGACAATTCCTTGAAACAAGTTGGGAAGCCAAAGGAAATACTGTCTTAGAGGACAGGGGCATGACAATAGACTTAGTACACACTGCCAGCCTTTGTGTTTAAGACTAGGGCAACTAATACACCGTTAAAGAGAAAAGTGGCAGCTTCCCTAAAGAAAAGATTGAGAGAAAGTTGTGTGTGTGTTTTTATCTATTTAAAATTTATAAATTAACCAATAACTTGTTCCGGAAAATAACTGCAAATGAAAACACAATTTTTGAAATGCTCATTTTTTAAATGAAGGGCTTAATAGCTATTCTGTTACTTCAAAGATACATAAAGGATTTAAAACATTTTCAGTTACATTTAATTATCTCCACTTGTCCTTTGACAATTCGTCTCACGATCTATTCTAGGTATACAAAAAGTGAGACTCTCTGAACGGATATACAGACGGGAATAGAGACAAGAAGTTGAAGGCGTGTCTGCTTGGTGGCGGTGGGCGGGTGGCAGGTTTTGACAAGGATCACGTTGTTCCATTAAGGCTGCTGAGTGTGAAGGAGTCAGTCCTTCAAGGCTGTACGTTAAAAAACTTGGAAATTATATAAGAAATTCATAAGTACGGAGAAGCATTTGTTTTAACTGGGATATGCTGACCAGAGGAACCAAGTGTGGCTAGAGCAACATTAGCTGGGCCTTCTCTCCATAATCTCACTTGATTGTTATCTCAGAAGTACAAATCCATTCTCTAAACATGGCATTCTTTTCTGTTACCTTTAGAAGCAGGAAATTTGTTTATTTTTTCTGACTCGATGAATAAAAATACTGATACAAACAACAAACTTGAATTTTTCTTTCATTATTTAACTTCAGGCATTCTTAGCATAATTCCTGACAAACTAATCTGGGAAGATAACATCTACACTAGCCCTGGTTAGCCAGCCGCTTGACCCTGGTTCTTAAACCAGAGAAGGAAATGTTAAGAAGGCCCAGTGTTTTGTACCTGTGCCCTCATTATTTTCTCAAGTGTTCCCCACTGACCCAGGCTAGCGCTACTGATCACGCCCCTTTTCTCAGGAACAGGCAGGCCCTCGAAGGTTCACTGCACAACACTGGGAGCCTGCTCATTCACAGAGGCTACAATGTGGAGACACCTCACTGTGCACAAGGTGCCCACCTGCCTCACTCAGGGAGTGGCTACTTGGTCTCTGGAGTCCGTCCTAGAGGTCCTTGTTCTATTATCTCCTGGCCTGTACCATCAGCTTCCACCTCTCCATAAACTCAACTTGTTCTGTTACAAACGTGCATACATTTCACTCATTAACATATTATAATACCCCAAACGAAGCAAAACAAAGAAAACCCCAATCCTTTTTGGATGGAGCCCACTCCTCTAAGCAGCAGCCCTTCCCTCCCCTCCCTCACAAAAGGCACACGGACAAGTCCACGTGTCCTTGTCCTCAGTGAGGATAATGCTTTCCCCGAGGCTTTCGTTTGCACTTGGTTGTCACATGGCCTCTTTGTTGCTCTCCCAGCACCTCTTACTCTTCTCTTTGATTTTTCCTTCTGCATAGTTTGCCACAGGATCTTTTATAAAATACAGTTGTCTCTATCATTTTCCTGCTTACATTCCTGCAATCACTCCCCATCATTTTCAAGAGAAAAAAATCTAAACTCTTAATAAGGGATACATGATCGGACCTATTTTGCTTCGTCTCTTAAACCACCCTTAGCTTCTCCTTCATTCTAAATTCAGGCGTCCCGAATCCGCTGCTAAACCTGCCGCTCTCCTGCACGTTGTCCTCAGTCCTGCATGTCCTTGCACGTGTCTTTGTTTCTTTTTCTCCAGGAGCACCTTATCTTGATTTCCCTGCCCAGTAAACTTCTACTTACCCTCCTCGCCTTACTTCAAAGTCCTCCTCCTTCAGAAACCTTCTCTGATCCTAATCTCCCCACATGGTCTGTCCCCTTCCTCTGCCCTCACACAGACCCTGTGAACTATAGTTGAAGCTTCTTAAGAAGAGCACCAGTGCCTAGACCCCAACAGGCACTTAGAAAATGTGTATTTAATGATAATTATTGAATTTTTCTTCCCTTGTTCTCTGTCTCCCTAAATGCAGTATTTATGTCTCTCATTCTCTGAATCCCCAGCCAGCACCTAGCAAGTACTACATAACTAGATCTCAACAAAGATGAACAACTGTTGAAGGAACCAACAGGATAACTACCTCCAAGCTCTTCCAACAGCTCTGCACGTGGCTGCAAGATTATTTTTCCTCATCTACCAGCTCACCGAGGTTTCCATCAGGGATCCCTGCCCCCCTCCCTGCTAAAATTCGCAGTGGCGTCCTATGACCTGTAGGTTGAAGCCAAGTTTCCCTACCTCAGTTCTTTTGGGTATAAATGCTCTTTCTTTGATCTTCACAGATTCTCTCCTCCTTCCCCTTTGTATCTTTTTTTTTTAAAAATATATTTTATTGATTTTTTACAGAGAAGAAGGGAGAGGGATAGAGAGTTAGAAACATCGATGAGAGAGATCAATCAGCTGCCTCCTGCACGCCCCCCACTGGGGATGTGCTGGCAACCAAGGTACATGCCCTTGACCGGAATCAAACCTGGGACCCCTCAGTCTGCAGGCCAAGGCTCTATCCACTGAGCCAAACTGGTTAGGGCCCCTTTGTATCTTAATTCAGGCCTTTCCTACCTGCTCAAACTAAAGTTGTCGTTGAGTCAGTCTATTGCATGAACCTGATTTAGTTTCTCAATGCCCCCATATATTAAAGCTAAAATGACCTTCTTCATGGGCTTTTTTCTATTTTTTTCTAAGTATCTTGCTATTGCCTCCCTCACTAGAATGTAAGGATCAAGATTCCATCAAAAAACTGCTAGGCCTAATAAGTGAATTCAGTAATGTAGCAGGATACAAAATTAACACCCAGAAATCTATGACTTTTTTTTAATACACCAATAATGAACTCACAGAAAGAGAAATTAAAAAAAAATCCCATTTACCAGTGCAACAAAAAAATTTAAGATACCTAGGAATAAACTTAACTAAGGAGGTAAAAGACCTGTACCTGGAAAACTACAGGATGTTGAAAAAAGAGATAGAGGAAGACATAAACAAATGGGAAGAATATACCGTGTTCATGAATTGGTAGAATCAACATCATTAAAATGTCCATACTACCCAAAGCAATCTATAGATTCAATGCAATCCCCATTAAGATACCAACAGAATATTTCACAGACCTAGAACAAACTCTCCAAAAATTCATATGGGAAAAAAATTCATATGGAATAGAATTCTAGGGCCATAAACACTAAGGTCTGGTTGACTTTGTACACTGCTGCATCCCCTGTCCTAAAGCACTTCCTAGAACCAGAGGTTAAGTGCTAAACATTGTTCAATGAAGGAAAGACTGAATGTAAAAATAATTCCAACAGGCATTCAAGGTCCTCAATGGCCTGGCCTCACTCTACTGTCCCAGCCTTATTCCCAGCTATTTCCCAAACACCCACTGTGCCTCCTAACTAGGCCCATCTATAAGAGCCTTATCTTCATTTTTTTCCAAGTTAAATTATCTTCCTCTTTTAAATTGAACTAAAACTCCACCTCTCTATAAGGCAATCCAAAGTGGGAATCTCACCCGGCTGGTGTTGCTCAGTGGTTGAGCATCGATCTATGAACCAGGAGGTCACGGTTCGATTCCCAGTCAGGGCACATGCCCAGGTTATGGGCTCGATCCGCATTGTGGGGCACGCAGGAGGCAACTGATCAATGATTCTCTCTCATCATTGATGTTTCTATCTCTCTCTCCCTCTCCTTGCCCCTCTGAAATCAATAAAAATATATTTTTAAAAAACCAACAAAGTGGTAATCTCTTTGACTATATCATTCACCTATTTAATGCCTTAAATATATTTTAATTCTTTAGAGCTGTCTTATAATGAAATTTTTTAAATTTCAGAAATAGGTTTTAAGTTATAATAAAAAATTTTTAAAGGAAAAATTCTTTATGCTATGAGTAAATAAAATTCAGACTCCATTTTATTTAATTATTTTAAATTGCATGCTTTTTGCTTTAAGTATACCAAAGAAGTTTGCTTTGTGCAACATAATGGTTAAAAGGCAACATTCAAAATTTGTTAGTGAGAGTTGGTTCTAGTAACAACTCTAATGTCCACTTTAACTAAAGATAATAATGGCCACTGAACATATCATGGAAAGGCATCCTGAAAGTAACTCTTCCACCTTTTAACTATGAGCCTAGCATGGTCCAGTTGATTACATCATTTGTTTTAATACTGTAATCAATACTATTAGTCAGAATATTCTCAAAACTTCAAGTCAATTTTAAATAATTTTACTGATCTGCATCTTGTTGACCCCAGTGTTGGATAAATACAAACATACCTATACTCAGAGCAGAGAATGCAATATGTAACATGTAAGTAAAAGAAACATGCCAACCTGGATACCAACTTGGCCCCACTAGCGTCCTCTGCTGAATTCATGTCACCCCAGCCGGGTTTTCTACGACTTAGCCGCAGGCTGACCTGAGCAATACCATCACATCGCTCGAGCTGTGGTACCCTGTGGACCTGAAGAGACCCCTCACTCTTGGACTTTGGGATCTAGAAAATAAAATTAGAGAGAGAGAGAGAGAGAGAGAGAGAGAGAGAAATTAAAAAAATAAGACCCTTCAAATTAAGTTACTGCAGAATATTTATTATAATTTATTAATAATCTCGTGTATTAACACTCCAACCTAGAAATGGATTTTATAAACCTAGGTATGGAATTAAAAATACATTAAAAAATTCTTATATAGCAGAGGGCACAGTGAAGGGGAACTTCTGAACCATATACGGCCCAGACCCGTCTCTCCTGGATTCTGATGCAAATCTTTCTCAGGCCTTACAGTCCTAAGAATAACCACTCTATGTAATGAAAGAGTCTAAGAGTATATCAGACTGCAACCTGGAGTGAAAGAAGTAACAAATAGAGGCAGAAAAATAAAAGATAGAATGCCAATGTTAGAAAGGTGTCTAGAAATATTTACTATCAACAAGCAAGCTACACACCAGTGTGCTAATAATTTCTATTGGAATCCTCTTTGTAAAGCAAATTATGATATAATAATTTTTGATTAAGAAAATAAATAAGAAAAACACAACACTTTTAGCACTCTTATATTTTTTAAATCATGGGCAACACAAGCACCAAATACCCGGCGTACTGACTTCTCATATCTGAAGTTATATGCTCCCTTCAACCTCAAGCTCTCTTACTCTAAACTGTAAAGAGAGTGAATACAACTACCTTTCTATATATATATATATATCATGTCAGAATTTCAGGAACATTTCAAACCCTTGGATCAACTTTACTTGTTACACTGGAAACTTTTCCTCATAATGAGAACTTTTTTAATGCTGGTTTTTCCACCTGCAATGTCATCAGTTCATCACTGGCCACTCATCAACTGTGTAAGATCAAACCAAACCCTAACTCCCTTTGAAGTCGAGATAAGAATCCACTACCCAAAAAGCTTCTCCAACTACCTCAGGTCTTAACCAGCTTTCCCAACTCCGAATTCCTGTAGCAGTATCCACACTTGATTACATGTCATCTGATACCTTAAGTTTAGTTCATAATTATGCTGCCTGATGTTTCTAGATTATTTTACCTCAACCAGATCCTAGAGACAGAGATTATAGCCTCATGCTCTTCCTACTTCTCCTCCTCCACCCCTTTCTCCTTCTTCCTCCTCTCTGTTATTATTTTTAACATTTTTACCATAAAGTCTAGCAATTTTTTCAACCCACTAATACTTATTGTCAGAAAACATACATTTCAATTACAAGATATTCCCAAGTCACTTACTGGCCAAGAGGCTAGGATAATATGGGGATAATTTATGTAAGTATATAACATTCATATCTCTAGGATGATTAGATAAAAGTAATACATAAAAATAATTTAGCACCCTGGCCGGTGTGACTCAGTTGGTTGGAGCGTCAACCCGTGCACCAGAAGATTGTGGGTTGATTCCAGGTCAGGGCACATACCTAGGTTGCAGGTGTGATCCCAGTCAGCGGCGCAGGGACGCAACCGATTAATGTATCTCTCTCACATCAATGTTTTTCTCTTTCTTCCTCCCTGCCTCTTTCTCTCCTTTCTCCCTTCCTCCCTTTCTAAAATTTATTTAAAAAATAATTCAGCAAAGAGTTACATTTAACACAAAGCAAATACGCAATAAAAGCTATTTTTCATTAATACTGTTGTCACATAAAATTTGCCCAAATCGGATGATTACCAATTAATAGTTGGGTTGCATAGCTCTATAGGGCATTCATAACTCATGAAAACCAAGGAAAGCAAGAACTTTTCTTTTAGAAATTATAAACTATATCATTCATAGAGATATTTGCCAAAATTACTTCTAAAAGAAATATTCATATAAACAGCAAGAGAATGTGAAAAGTACAAATATATGCTATTATGTAGTTTATAAAGGGACTCCTTTTGCCGTGATTATTTTTCATAAGAATAGACATAAAAATTAATTAAAACACTGAAAAAGCAGTACAATTTCAAACTAGTTAGCTAAAAAATTCACTTCCAGACTGTTTCTCAATATTAAAACAAACAGTACAGCAGTTGTTTGGCTGCATTTCATCATGTTAAAATAAGGACTTGACATTTTAGGTTCAGTGAAAACTTCTGGGTTCTAAATTTAATTCAACAATTTATGTAAAGGAAAACTATTCTTCTTTTAAAATATATTTTTATTGATTTCAGAGAGGAAGGGAGAGGGGAGAAAGAGATAGAAACATCGATGATGTGAGAGAATCATTGATTGGCTGCCTCCTGCATGTCCCCCCTCCCCCACTGGGGATACAGCCCACAACCAGAGCATGTGCCCTTGACCGGAATTGAACCTGGGACTCTTCAGTCCACAGGCCGACATCTATCCACTGAGCCAAACCAGCCAGGGAAAGGAAAACTATTCTAAGGTAAAAAATATTATGTCAATTTACATCAATCTAAGGGTATTTCTGTGATAATTTCTTTTGTTATTGTTTGTTTTGTTAATCCTCACCCAAAGATATTTTTCCATTGATTTTTAGAGATAATGGAAAGAAGAGGGAGAGAGAGAAATATCGACATGAGAGAGACACATTGATTAGTTGGTATGCACCTCTGACTGGAATCGAACCCGGACCTTTCAGTCCATGGCCCAACGCTCTATCCATAGAGCCAAACTGGCTAGAGCTGATAACTTAATTTCTATAGAAATAACATAGAGGTGATTGTCATTAACCATGAATTTTACAATATAAACTCATTATTAATATATATCACAGTAGTACGAAGAATTGAGCTTGTGCACAGAACCTGGAAATATCACATGAAGCTTATATTGGCATTTATGAAATTTGTTAGAAAAAAGTAGCTCAGAAACTCTGAGACTTCTAGAGATGTGGAATATATACATATATTTTTAAGGGAATGTACATTTTTAAAGGTAACTAATGAAATATTCTTGAAGATGTACCTTGAAGACTATACACTTTCACTATGGACATTACTATAGAGAAAATGAACAGTAATTTTAAAACCTGCTGTGTTTCTGATGCAATTAATTTTAATACAAATGTGTTAACTTTGAGAAAAAGGAAGAGATCACTTACTTTACTGTATCTGGAATTGAGCTTTTTAGGAACGCGTGATCTTAGCCTGGGCCTCATAAAGCAGGCAGAGGGGACAGTTTTATTTCTGTGCTTCTGGGTGTCTATTTCAGGTAGTATATTGTTTAGTGGCGAACTCTGAGGTGGCGCTCAAGGGCCCTTTCACCCAGAACTCTCTGAGGAGCAGCAGGACACCAGTCGGCCAAGCCCCAGGGTACAGGGAACCTGTTATTACAGTGTGGCTTTCCGCAGTGGTCCTCACTTGCAGCCAATTTTGTGTGTAGACATTTTTGATCGTCATGACAGGAGTGAGAGAGTGTGCTGTTGGAATCCAGTGGGCGGTGGCCAGGGATGTGACTAAACATCCTACAATGCACAGGCCAGCTTACCAGGAAAAGAAGTTAATTGGTCTAAAATGTCAGTAGAGCTAAAGTTGAAAAACCCTGCTTTAGAGGAAATGGAAAGACGAAACCTGTATCGAGGCAACTCCTCCCTTGTTACACTTTTCTTTTAGTTCCATCCTCCTTTTCTTGCCATTGGCATGTTAAGATGTGATGGGCCAAGATTAATTTTAGCAGAAATGGGTCACGCAAGGCACATAGGCCTCCCTTGCGTAGGCGAGTGTCACTAGTGCATCATGAGGTTCAGCTAAGCTCAAGCTCCGATGGGCAGGGACTCCAACTATAGCCAAAAGCCTCACTGTGGTGAACAGAGTGAGTGTGTGGGGAAAGGCCACCTGCAGCTACCTCATAATGTGTGGCTGCCGTAGGAAAATGGCCCTGAGTTTAGGATTCTGACTGGGTGGCCAGCTCCCTCTTTCCACTGGAGATATTCACTTATTTACACCACACTTTGCTTCTTATTTTAAGCAATTTCTTCATGATAACTTTGATACTTGAGGGTGAAAACTATAAAAGCCCCCAAACCACCTACGAAAAACATTTTACTCAGAAGAATTCTGCACTGGCCATTTGAGATAAGATCTGTGTAATTTATGTGTACAACTAAAATACTAACAATTCCAGAAATCTTAAAAAGAGTGCATTCCATGCATGTACTTGCAGGTATGGAATAGTCTGATTGAGAAATTCAGCGATTCTAGTATTTGCGATGCCGTGGGAATGAAACAAAAGAATAACTTTTGAGAATATAAAGTTAGGAAATATTCTCTTAGATGCTGTTATAAATAAACATTTAGTGAGAATTTACTCCGTGCTAGGCATGTTTTCAAGAGATTTACATAAATTAATTCTCACAACAACCCAAAGAGACAGGGACTAATATTATTACCATTTCACAGGTGAGAAAACTGAGGGATAAAGAGTTCAGGTTATTTGTCCCAGTGAGTAAGTGGCAGAATTACAATTACAACCCAGATAACCAACCCTCAGTACCTGTGCTTACCACTAGTCTCTATATTGGGTTTCAGGTTAAATATTAGAATTGCAAGAAGAAAATACAATTTTGGATAAAAGTTACATTACAGCTCATAATGCAACCCATTTTCTGCATTCTCTCTTTTTGTTTGCATTAATAAAATTTTCCTTAAATTTATTTCTCTATGGTCTGCTAAACTATTCTAGTAAAATAATCTTAGGGGGGAAATCAGATATGAGGTGAAAATTGTATGGAAAATGTGTGTATCATACTTTTATTAGTAATAGACAAAAATGTAAGTATTCTAAATAGCCAAATTATCACAGTGGGTAATTTTGGCACCTCTATATGATGGATTATTCAGCCATTAAAATATCTACAAGGTTTTTAATGAGACTTTTTAAATCAGTTTGAGCTCAGTTAGCAATAAAAATGCATACAGATAGCTATATTCCTTCAATATAACTTGGATCATCCCCATTCTTTAAACTGACATGAATAAATTTCAAAGGCTGGCACCCAAATTCTGTTATGGTCAACACTACAAATGTTTTAAGATGACC